CTGGACCTGATCACCAGGTTGGCCTGTACGTGCTGTGTGATAGCACTCTAGATGATCTGCTCCATCACCTATTGCCTTCCCAGGCAGTAATCCTCCTGGATCCAGGATCTGGTGTTGCTTACTTTGCTTTAAATAATGAAGAAAGAGATATGTAGCCCCAGGCTCCAGGTAGTGTTACAGATACCTGAGTTACAGATATCTGAAGAACGATCCATTCAGAAAGAAATACCTGTTAAAGAATGCAGCAAAACTTGTCTGTAGCAAGTAGATCAAAGACCCTGTAAACACAATTTAAAAAAAAAAAAAAAAAAAAAAAAGGGGGGGGGTGTGTAAAGTGGGTCAGATGCATGACACAATTTTGAGATAAGCTGGTGATAAGCCACTGCTGCAAACATTTGTCTTGCAAAGAGTTATAAGAGAGTGGTTGATCCAGAAGGGAGCCTGGGGTTGCTCCATAGTTGAGGTCTGAGCTGTGGCATCACAGCTCGTCATCCTCCGGAGAGCCATGGGCATGAGCTTTGCATTGGCTAACAGCAGCAGCTTTTCAATTTGTTCCTTAAAATGCAAAAGCACTTGATGAACTGGAAAATCTTTCTACTTCATTACATCTTGAGCAAGGAGAAGTAAAAAAAATTGTGCTTTCTGGGGCTGGGCTGAGATGGAAGATGCAGTGAGAAAATTTTCTTTACTGTAGTAGCCAGTGATGCTCATTTTCTGTTTCTTTCCGAGGAAGTTGAAATTGCATTCAGCTTACACGTGCTCCTTGCAGAGTCTCAGGACCCGTACAGAGATCTGAGTGCCTTTGAGCTGGGTTTGACCACAAATGACAGGCAGTGACCATCTACGTGGCAGGAAGCAACAGAGGGGCTGAACAGACAAGAACTGTGTGCCAGCTAGGTACAGAGGATGCTGTAACAGTGTTAATGGCTAAAGGAAAAGGCAGAAATCCCAGGTCCACCTTTGTCTTGAAAACCTTTCCCTTGAGGCTGCAGGATGGTCATCTCCGCCTGTCCATAGGATTATGGAATAGTTGTTTCTGATTTTACCTCTTTTTATACTTATGGTAAACAAACATCTTTAGGCTTGTGTTCAGTTCCCGAAGTTTAGCTGTTGCAATCTAAATTAGACCTGCCCAGGGTGTTTGAGAGGTCAGTGCTCTTGGAGAATGCAGTGGAAACTTGTTTGGAGAGAACTGGGGAGAGCTGGAACAATGTCAGGTTGTGCTGGGAAAAGCTGCTTCATGTGGGATGTCTTCAAGGAGCAATTACAAAAATAACACTCACTGTCAGCTGATAGAGCAGAGCAGGGAGTGGATAATAAATACAAAAATCTGCTTTGTCTTCCAGCATCTCAAGTTATAAAGTTTTTCTCTTAGAAGTTCACATGGAGAATGGTTATTTAAAACAACCACTTTTCTGAACAGCTCATAGCTACATTTTAAATTTTAATGTTAATGAGTTGAAGATCTCTTTTTTTCTTAAAAAAAAGTATGTATTTTTACAACCATAGGAAAATTTCTGGCCTGTCAGAAAGATATGCAGGCATCTAGAACTTGCTCTTTCTTCCCTTCTTATGGCTACTCGAGAGGAAAGGTAGTGCAATTTGTGTACCGAATGTGTGTTTTACGGGTACCTGCTGAAATCCCATTGAGCTAAGAGGTGCTGTTCCAGGGCTGTCTGAGAGCAAACATGAGATTAGACACTGCAGCTTTCCATCCTTCTCTGAGAAGTGTTGTTTTCACATATTGTGTGGAATGAACTTTTTCCCTTAACTGACAAATTACTTGTGAAATTGTTTCATATAAGCAGTTACACTTTGCAGTAAATTTAAACTCAGTCCACTCAGCATTATCTTCTTGCCTCGCAAACCATTGAAAAGATCAATTTTTAACTAATTCTGTTTATCATCCTGAGGTTAGATTTGGCAAGCAACATGTCACCTGCCACCATGAAAAATTATTTCCAACATGTTCTTCATTAAGCTTTTCTTCAATATTCAGCTGTCACTGGAGGATTACGGTTTTCTGATGAAGAATTAAAAAAAAAAAAAAATTGCAATGAAAATTGACTGTCAATAGTTCTGTATTAAAATCCCTTGAAGTATCAGGGTTTGCAAGTTGTTTTGATTTATATGTCTTTTTAGCAGTGCATGAGCACAAAATAGCAGTTCTTTCCTTGCTAGCTTGCTGAAAGGTATGCAAACCAAACTGACAACAGGAAAGGATAGAAAGAATTTGTTTTTAAAGACCAATTGAATGAAAGAAGAGCCGATGTTTCCCCTGTATTTCAGGGGATATTTTCATGTATTGTAGTTCCAAAGTACTCTCTGCTTTATTGAAGAGTCTAGTTTCAGCCTGAACAAATACCATATCACATTCATATGCAATGCCTTTAATGCAGATGGATCTTGGAGACTCTGAATAGTGTGTTGCACAAACTAGCTTAACTTCAGTATTGTGTATCACTAAATGTAATCTGCCCATCAAGAGGTTGTGTGCACTGACCCTGCAAAAGGTAAAACCGGGAAACAAAAAAAATAATGCAATTCTCAGTTTAAGCTGCTGTGGAAATTGGAGCAGGCTGCATGTTCTGAGGAATTAATTTTGGATAAAGGCTAATCTGCCACCTGCCTCTGTGGCTGCTGGATAGAGGGGCTGCTCCTGTTAGCAGCTCTAAGCAGGTAGTATGAAATGCTGTCTGGAAGGAGCCCAAGACCCTCTTCTTGAACTGTACAAGGAACCTGATAAGAGTAAATGCCTGTACCTGCAATCAATCTATGTGAAAACCTACAATTAATTGTGCAATAAATTTGACTACTGTGTCAGCTTGCATCTTTTGCACTGGGCCATTAACAGAGATGAGGAATTAGTTGCACAAATAACACAGAAAAGATTGTGCATACAAAATATATTTCTGTTCTTACCACCAAAGAGCAGAATTACGCAGAGGCAGCTTCAGGTTGGTTGGCTGTAAGCGTGCTTGAGAAACAACACTGTATTTTTGACAGACGCTGTATCCTTGATAAAAATTTTTAGTTTGCTTGATCAGAGTAAAATGTTCATGTTTCCATATCAGGAGCAAGCAGAGCATTTATGGTATTCAGCAACCTTAATATCTCAAAGTATAGAAAAAGATATGAAAAATTAACACTCGGTATCTTTTCAGGAGGATGATAACATCAGAAATCCCTGCGTGAAAGTCCCAGTTGCTCAATGTTTCCTTTTTATAGCAGCCAGTGAGAGGAAATGCAGATCATGGTAACGCCGTTGCTCCGTGCCAGCAAGCGTAGGATGCCGTGGCAGGAAGGGAGCCCAAGAAGAGGATAATCCCTCTTGGGTACACCCCTTGTACATCCGGGGCCGTTTTTGCACCACAGCAGCTGCCCTCCTGGGCACCATCTGTGGGTCAGGCAGGAGGTGAGCACCCACATGCCCCCCGGGAGGGCCGGGGTGCAGGCAGGTGTCCAGCTTTTGTAAACTGCTTTGTCCTGCGCTGGCCTTTTTGCTCAACAAACCTCTCCCATAACAAACCAGGGCTGTGTACCCAGCCTGAATTTCAGCTTGGTTGTGCCCCTTCTCCATCTGGCTTCTCCCCACGTTGTTGAAATTGTGCACCTGGGACATGCAGCGAGTCCCCGGCCGGTGGCTTCCCGCCTGCCTGCTGTGACAGCATTGTCCCCAGAGCCGTCGGGGTCTGGCGTGCCTGGGCGGTTGTGCCCGTGGGGAGCTGGCTTGGCTGCAGCTGCAGTGTGTGCTCCGTGTCCTGGGTCAAACCCGCTCTGCTGTGCTCCACACTGCTGCGTCAGACAGAGCCAGAGCCACTGGTGGGAAAGGACTGAGTGGGAGTGGGAGGTGTGGGCAGCAGGACTGGCTGAATTAGGAGCATCCAGGAATGAGGGAAAGGAAGCCAGTACCTGCTTGGAGTTCAGAAATGGTACTGATGCTCTGCCAGCCCTCCCAAAGCAGTGCTGGTGCTGTGATGGGCTGTACCAGCAGCAGGTCCATGCTGCAGGCAGGTGGGCATCCACTGTGGTGTCACCTCCTGCTATGGGACCCCCGTAGGCTGCTGTCAGGGGACCCACAGGGGATAGTGTTCCTCCCTATGGCAGTGGGGAGCCCTCTGCAACACTGGGGTCTACATGGTGCCATCCACTGAGGTGGGTGTGATGTGTTCTGGACGGGGTGCAGCTCTCCTCCGAGCAGTTCCCCTCCACCCCTTCCCCTGCACACTCCTGTGTTTAATCATGCTTTGGCACTGTCCATCTCAGGCACATGCCAGGCGCCCTGCATTCCCACTGGAAAATAAAAGAAGTAAGGACAGCAACAGAGTTGGGAGAATAAAAAAAAAAAAATTAAAAAAACCCCCAAAACGCCAGAGTGGCTTCAGAAAAAAGATACGTAGAGGAAAGGGAATGGCAAATGCTGCTGGTTAATTGAAGCTGTCCTTGTACAGAGAATCAATCTCCCTTTTCATAAAGCAGTAAGAGAAAAGAAAGCTGCTTGATACATCTTGTGATCAAGGAATTAAGCCATGCATCTCTGAAACTCGCAGGAAGAGAAGGGAGCAAAGCTCATTCAGTCAAAGCAGAGGCCGGATTCAGAGAAGAAATAATTGTTTTGAAGATAATTTTCTTTTGATTAGTAAGAATTACCATTCCAAAACATTTGTTTTTTCAGTAATTGTTTCACTTCACATTTTACCACTCTATGTGTTTATGTGTATATATACATTAAAAAAAAATTAGAAAAAATTGACTATTCATTTGTGCTATTTGTTTTTACGTGTGACATGGGAATAGTTTCTGTAATGCTGTTGTAAGCTTGGGAGCAATCCACAGACGGGATTTTCCAGAGAGCAGCACTTACCCGTGAATAACTGGCACAGCTCTGCTCTTTTCCTGTGCACAGGCGATGCACCTCACCAGCTGGGGGGCATTGCTAATTTCCTGAAAATTGTATTTTCAGGAAAACAATTTGGGGCTTTCATTTACGTATTGGGGGAATGGGGTTTCGTTTTAATCTCAACGCCTGGCTGAGGTTTGTTTGTGAACATCTGGGAGCTCCAGACATGGGAGAATTGGCGCCTGTACTTGAAACCTGCTGATAGCTGCTGCTTGTTTAGCTGTTGTCTGAGCGTGCGAACGTGGACCTTTTGCTTCGTGAAGGTGGCTGAGTGAAGCGAACAGCAAACAGTGAAGTATACACAGAAATTAAGCTTCAGTGCTGAGGCCGTGCAGATTTTTCACGAAGTGTTCTGCTCATGCGATGTGATGGAGTATTTCTTGTGTTGTGTTTGTGTTCCAGTTACAGTAATTGAACTGTTGTTGTAAGGGCTAATATTAAGTGCAATTTTCTGCAAATGCCGTAGCTTCTGTGATAGAAATGTTTTACTGGTCAGTGTACTTAACATGTTATTATTTGACCTCCTATTAAAATTCTACGTGGCATGAAAACGTGTAAGTTGTTTCAGGATAGCAGTGTTACCCAGCAATGCTTCTGAAAAGCACAACCATTACCTGTCTCTGATATACTAAGTGGAATGTGATCAGATAACAATGTCCTGAGTTGAAACAAATATGCTTAACAGAAAACTTTAAATACAACGAGTGTTTTAAAAGACTTTTTTGTTTGTTCATGTTGAGTTGTTTACATTCGCTGGAAGAGTGAAATACATTTAACCAAGAATGTGTCTTTTCTCTCTTAGATTACAGAAGTTTGTGGAGCCAAGCGCGTGGGTTATTTTGGTCCTGCTCAGTTTTATCTTGCTTTGAAGTTAATCGCGGCAGCCCAGTCAGGGTTCCCAGTACGGATTGAGAGCATTAAGAATGGTAAGTAGCAAATTTTGCTTGCAGCACTATGCATTTGTTTCTCGCTTTCTTTAGTGCTTGTCAGCTCTCCATGGTGGTAAACTTCTAACGTATCTATGAAACAATTGTATTTTGAGGAGCAAAGAAAGAGTAGAAGGTAATGTAACATTCTCTAAGTGACTGGTAGAAAATTGCAGTGAATTACATGTATGGCAAAGCTGAGATGACATTCCCCCCTGGAAAAGGCATTACCAAAGGAATGGCAAAAATGACAGCTGATCAATGTTGGGGATGTGTTTCTCTCTCGCCTTCATCCCCTGATCTTGACAGCTGTGCAGAGTGGGAGCTGGTAGCTGCTTCGGGTGGAGGCATGTTGCTGGGGGGTCAGGGTTTCCCCTGTGGGCAGGTCAGGGGTTCCCCTGTGCAGGGCAGCTTGCACCGCTCATCTGTTTTAGCAAATAATCCTGCGGAAATAAATGGATAATGGTGACAAAATCATAATGTTTCCTATCAGTAGGCATGAAAACGTGTATTAGATGTAATGCAAAACATCTTTGTTCTTCCCAGTGAATTGACAGTAATATTAAATGTACCATTTTTGATGGAGAAAAAATGCTTCTTAAAAAGAGGCTTATCAAACTTAAGCAATAAAGAGAGAAAGCAGATCCCTTTTAGCTGTGAAACCTTGATGGCACCTAAACAGAGGGAACTCGATGTTCTTGCCTTGATGATGCACACTCTGCCTTGATGATGCATGCTTTGCCTCAGCAGGTCTCAGACTTTAAAACAGGTGGCTTTTCACTTGGGCTTCAGCCTGAGCAGGTTTGAACCCTTACCTCCCGTATCCCAGGTGGGCATTCAAACTGTGCCATGAGGCTGTGCTGTGGGTAAGAGTGCTTGCTGTCATCCCACTGAAGGCAGAGATGTAACCAGCCGCAAGATCAGAGAGGAGGTGAGAAATCCAGAACCTGCCTGTAGCCTCACAATCGGGTCACTGCTCCCAGCACAGTTTCTGCTCTGCTGAACTCTGCTATGGGCAACAAAATCTAAAATTCTCCTGTGTTACAAGGCACAAAGACAGGTTTCCCAGGTCTGCCCTGTCCCAGGGTGGGAAGCTGGGCTGGCAAGCACGTGCAGACCTGTGTGAGCTGAGCTCCTGTGTTCAGAGCTTCTGATCAAGTGGAGGGGATCGGATGCAGCTGGCATGGTTCAGTTCATTGCCTTGCTGGTAGGGGAGTTTAAATCACGGGTGAAGTGGGGAGGCCTGGATTTGTCTGTCAGTTTTCCTTACAGACAGCTTGTGCACTCTCTCTTGCATTGCCATCCTTTTTAAGGGTGTTAATTTGGGGGAAACAAAAAATCAACCCCCAAAAATCCAAACCCAACAAACTAAGTTAGAAACCTGAACTAAGTGAGTTTTACTATGTATGTTTTACAAGTCCAGCATTTGCTGATAATCCACAAATTTGAGTGAAGAAAGGTACTTGCAGTCTTTGTATTGATATCCTGTTTACTCACTGTTTCCAGAATCCTTCCAATGCTAATTACATTTTCTCTTGAAATATTTGAGTGCCTTTACAGTGGGGTGAGTAACATGCACCAAACTCCAATTGATTCCTTTTTCTTCCTGGTAGTAGCTGTAGGTGTAAATGGTTAGAGGTGATATATGGCTTTGCTTGTTTTTCAGCTTTCTGTTAACTTTAATTGTATTGATCTTTTAGGGTGACTGTGCACAAAAATAAATGGTGTTTCTTCAAAATAATCGTGAATTGTCTTAAAGAGTGAAAAAGTGTCACTCTTATGCTCTACAGAGCAGACACAACATGAGACCTTTCGACACAGTTGTCTTGCCAGGCATTGGTGTGATCTCCGAACCTTACAATTTTAAATTTGTTCCCTTTATGATGGCAGTGTTGAGGATACTGTGATCCCAGCTGATTAATTCATCAGTCCCACAGTTTCTGTGGGAAACTATTCTTTTCGTTACAGACAACGTTTTGATGGCAGGAAATGAGTTTGCCACTTGCTTTAATAATGTGCACAAGACTTATTTCTTTCTCTTTGCATGGAGAGTTTATATATTAAGCTAGTGAATGTAGCTTTGTGTAACATTCACATTTTTATTAGGACCTAAAATAACCACTGGAGTTCCACACTTATAAATGTTAAAAAATATAAATAGTAGTCTTTTTATAGATATACTTTTAATTGGTTTTACAAGATAATACTTCTTAAAGTACTTTTAATGTTCTGTAGTCTCAGTTGAATTTTTCTCTCTTTTAATGAAGAATTGCCTCTGCCGCGGTTTGTGGCGCTGAAAAATGACAGTGAATTACGTTATGGAACTCCAGCAGAACTCCATGGAGTTAAATTTCAGGTTCCACATGCAACTTTGGAAAAAAATTCCTACAAAAGAACAGATGAAGGGGACAAACAGGTAATAGGCTTGCTTCCTTCAGGCCAATGTGTCCTTATGCATCCTCCTTTTGGGTCCAGTCCTGTAAATTATTACACTCACGTGGGCTTACTCAGTTTTTCTGTACTAGACAGGAGATGAACTCCTGACATGCAAATAAATAATCCCCATCGGGGCTGTGCTCTTATTTTGATGCATCCCAGTGTATCCCTGAAGGGACTTTCTCTGTATGAGCTTGTGTAAAGCTGTCACTTCTGTAATATTCTGTATAAATTATTTCACTATTGTACTCCTATTTAGTCCAGCACTGTTTCTTGGAGAGGACTGGGGAGGAGCAGCAAATAGAAATCTGTCTGTAAAAAGAACAGGAAAGCAAGCCATCTCATATGGCCAGTATGATCCTTAGTCACTACAGAAATACTCAGCTGGAGGAGAGGTGTTGAATCATGAGCCGCTATTTCTGGGTGAGGTAAAGCCACCAGATTCTCTCCCCTAGGAGCAGTCCAGAAGAAATCTGCTTTTCTTGTGTCCTCAGTGAAACATCATCCCAGCATCTGCTGGTCAGAGGTGCCATTTTAATAAAGCTGTTTAAGGAAGATTTGTATTACCTGTATTTAGGAGAGTTGAGAGCTCTTACTCAGGTACAAGCAGCTTCACAGCACAAGCCTGATGTGCATAATTTTCCCCAGGCCTAACACCTTCTCTTCTAGTACTGTATCAGGCCATGTTGTAAACGCCTGGTGGCCGGCGTTTTATCTTCCCATAGCACGCGCACACATTTATCAGACGGTGCACCGGCGTGAGTAACGGCGTTCCCAGCCTCAGGTCAGCCAGCAGTAACGAGCTGATGACAAGATACACGGGTGGAATAACAGGATGAGGAAGAAGAGCATGTACTGACACTAAAGCAGAACACGACCCTCAAACCCCTAGCTCCATCTAGGTCATTTGTGTTATGTTGTATTTTCCTTTTTATACAGTAAACTGTTTCAGGATCACATCCTCTTCTTAAGCAATCTATAAGTTAAGGTAAAGAGAACGCTGTAGGATAGATACCCAGTAACACCTACAAATCCACAGAGTGCTTAAAATACCAATTCATAGATTTTTTTTTTAAGTGTTTTATATGAAAAATGCTCTCCCACTAACTGAATGTGTTATGTAAATTCAAAGATACCCACTCATATTAAGCATTCTACATATATTTCTTCAGGCATCTTTTGGAAGTAGAATACCTTAAGCTGTTCATTGTAAAGCTTTGCTTTGGCATTGCCATGCTTTACCATGCTTTTTTTGGTATTGAAGGCTCAATACCAAATTTCTGTCTTTACCAACTTCTGTTTTTTAAGGAGCCTTTTCTTGGAAACAAAGGGCCTCAGGGAACTACAGTGTTTGCCTTTTCTTTGTCCATCATGCTGTATACATTGAGATAGCCATGCAGGATTACTTGGTTGTTTTGCTGTTGTCTCAGAATTCCATCTTCTATTGGTATGTTTTTGAAATAGGAACCCAAATCTCCACGGATGTCTCCAATCTGCTCACCTCCTGCTTCTCCATCTACTTATCAGAGAATACCCTTGAGTTATGGATATGGTAAATCAAGAAGTGGGCTGGAGCAGCAGCATGGAGGTAGGATAGAAATTGGGATGCACAGGTTGCATTCAGTTCTTTTTTTTTTTTTCCCTTCTCAGAAGCATCCAAATTTCAAATGCAACTGACAATCAGCCTAATGACTTTAACATTTAATTAGAACTGTATTTTGGAAAGTGATTCAATCATCTAGTTTTATTTTGACTGTTAAGTCCTGTTTGCTTTCTGGTAAATTAGATAGATTTATGTGTCACTGCTCACAGAGAAATGCTAATACCTAATCTATGACAAGACTGTGTGCTATATATCCCGGTGACAGAGTGTTTGTGAATATTTTCAGGGTGCATGATGCTTTTGTTTTCATTGGAGGGGAAGAAAAGCCCACGCCCGATTTCAGTAGCTGCTATATTAGTTTTCAGATTGGCAGTGAACCTTCCTTTCCTCTCTGATTTTGCAATGGAAATAACAATAGAACACGAATATAAAAACAGTCCCACAAAGTAACTTAGGCAAAACCGGCAAAAATAAGGCACTGCATAGATGCTCTGTCCTTGACCTCACTGCCATTAGAGTAGATGGCAAAATGCTTTGGTTTTAGTAAGAGAGTAGTGGGGCAGAAGCTGGTTTTACAAAGGCTTTACAAGCTCTTGTTTTTAGTAAGGTGCCTGTGCTCTCCTAATTGCCACATCTGGTGACCAGCATGGTGGCAGTAGTAGGCACTGGTGTATACCATCCCTCCGTCATCCCTCTTGCTTTCAGTTAAGTGTGTTTGCAGTGAGCGAGGAGTGGAGCATGCTAGTCCTTTAGCTGTTCATAGAATCATAGAATAGATTGGGTTGGAAAAGACCTCCAAGATCATCAAGTCCAACCCCTGATCCAACTCCAATTACTATATCATGGCACTAAGGGCCACGTCCAATCTCTTTTTAAAAACCTCCAGGGATGGTGAATCCACCACCTCTCTGGGCAGGCCGTTCCAGTGCCTGATTACCCTTTCTGTAAAGAATTTCTTCCTAACATCTAACCTAAACCTCCCCTGGCAGAGCTTGAGCCCATGCCCCCTTGTCCTATTGTTGGTTGCCTGTTGCACTCCTTTACAAATAAGAGAAAGAACAGAGCTATTACAACATTTTGAAACTCACCACAGCCATGATAAGAATGTGTTCAACCCTATCAAGTGGCCTTCATGTGAAAATCACACCAGTACTGAGTCACAGCCATACATTTGCTGGTTAGGTAAACTGCTCTTTGTTCAGAGATGGGCTTTTTCCCCACCCTACCATTGGCATAATGGATCGAAACAGTGATGGTTGACTTGACAAATAAGCAACACTAGTGAGGTTGTCTTCTGGTATGACGCATGTTCTGCTCCAGTGAAGGACACACGTGGCATGTAGCCCATATAGCCTGAAAGAGCCTGGCCTGAGGTGGCCATCGGGAGCAGCTGACGAAGGACACACGTGGCATGTAGCCCATATAGCCAGAGGTGGCCATCGGGAGCAGCTGACCATGTTAACCTGTCATGCACCCTGCTGTTTTATGGGTCTCTTTCCCACATCCATCAGTGCTACGGGAGGCATTTTGGGTGTTGTTTTTTTTTGTTTGTTTGTTTTTTTCCTCTGAATTTGGTTGCAACTGTAACTTCAGTGAAATTTCTCGTGGGGTCAGCAGTTGTGCAAAGTGAGCAGAGGCAGTAGCATCCAATTGAGCTGTCAACTTCTTCTGAAATTAAGTTATTCCACCACTTGAATTTTTAAGATAATAAAATCCTAGAGGTGTGATAGACTATAGTTATTTTCCAGAAAGCAGTGAGGATTAAAGTAAAGGCATAGAATTTTTCAACATAGCACTAGATGCCTTTCTGGAAGAAATCCTTCAGCCGAATGTGTTCTCTGTGGCAGTAAGTGGGGTACATTTTAGGACCTGTGCTGTACCAGGTGCCGGGCTAGGTGACCTACTGGTTCTTCCTGGCATTTAAGATTAGTACTCTTCTAGTTTTCTGAGGAGCACTGGAAAAGGGGGGGTCTGAAAGCCACAGTGTTGGTGTACACAAGAGGTGCTCACGCTGCAGCACTGAGCTGGGAGGGCTGTTCTGTATGGCACATCTGATCCTGAAACTGGACAGTGTGTCTTCAAGGACAGCCCTTTGCACTGCAGCCGTGACTATAGACTCTTTTTTCTTTATAGTTTGGAAGTTTTTCTTGCTAGCAAACACAGAACAGTGTGGCCTTGTGCCTAAATCTCCTCTCCAAGGGCATCTGTGTGTTTCCCAACTTCCTTCCTGTGTTTTTTTTCTGAAATTAGAAGTTACTTGTACAGGAATAAAAATAGATACCAATACAGGATAAGACCACTTAGGAAAGCAAGGGGGTTAGGTGTATAATTTTTAAGATATTCCTGAGCTCAACGTTTTTACGAATTCTTAGTCTCACTTCTCATCAGGAGCCTTTTAAGTTCTACCTATCTAATGCAGGCTGTCTTTGTAGTGATACATTTTAAATGGGCTGTCCCCAGGAGTTCTCAGCTCTGTAAGGATTTGCAAGAGAGTTGCCTTTGTGTTTGCATACTGGACCTATTTTTAAAACATTGTTCTTAAACGTGCTGTTATGGCACCACTTACTATATTTGCTGCAGTGGAACTTAAGTGACTTACTTTAGCAAAAGAAGAAGTAATTATTACTTTTCTTTACTAACTTTACTCGAAATAATGCAAACTGGTGAGTCATGTATTTTGATTTTCAACAGAAATTAGGTAAGGGAGAAAAAGAGTGTATGGAAAATCAGTGATTTACTGTTTGATAGCATTGTCAAAACATATTCTTTTGCAGCTCAGTTGAATTATTTCTTCTTATTTGTAATGCATTCTTTTGCTATATATAGCTATAAGTATATAAAACGTATAAATATATAAACAGGCTATGTAAATATATAATACAACATGATTAACAATGATTCTGTTATCTTATAATATACAACTGACAGTTTCTATAATTAATGTCTGAAGAAGAATGATGTAATGTGAAAGACCAGTATGTGGCTGGAATTTTATTGTAGAAGACTGGATGGACTTTGATACTATGATACGAGGTTCACTTCGTAGATCCTTGCCAAAATGGACTTCAACATTGATACTAGGTTCACAAGCTAGATTCTTGGCCTTGCAGTATTTAATTATTTCCTTTAGCCTAGTAGAATCATTTTTATTATTCTTTCATTATATACTTTATTTTAAATGTCTGTAGCTCCTTATGAAGTCAGACACTCTACTCACCAGCAAGATGGACCATCATCAGGGAATTATGGAGCCAAACCTGCACTTGCCTGTTCAACTCTTAATCGGGTAATGAATTGCATGTTTTTCTTTAGTACTACTAATAAAACAACATTTTTTTTTTTTTTTTAAAAAAGGACAGAAAAATTCTCACATCAAAAGTAAAAAGTGTTCTCCATGGTATTTTTAGACCAGAGGCTGAAGTGTGCTTTTTAAGTGTATGAAAAAGAAAAAAAAAAAAAAAAAAGCTGATGGGAAGCAGAAATTAAAATAAATAATCCAATTAATTAAATTGCTGAAGCTAAGTATAATGAGAAGCATCAAATAGCATAGATAAGAAAACTAGACTGAGAATCTTCAGTTCAAAAGGAAAAAAAAAACAAAAACAAACCAATTAGGTTATCCTAGCAAAAGTAAAATATTTTCATTTAAAATATATGAGGTTTCACAGAGATTCCTGCCTGATTTAGAATGCCGTCTGTAATACATGCACAGAATTTATGGCCTAATATTTTGCATATTCTGTTTTTTTCACCCCAGTTGGTTAAATCACATCTCAAACAGAATAAATGAATTTCTGGATATTTGTTTGCTTTTATGAGATGTCCTGTGTTTTCCTGCTGGTTGCAGTATACCTGCTGTGCATTTATTATGCAAACAGGTAGTTTGCCCTGAGGAAGGATAAAACTCTCCTAAGGGAGATTTTTTCCTAAATCAAGTAAAACTCAGAGACTTCATACCTTTTCCATAGTGCTCAGCACCCCACACCAATACTAAAATATCACCTGAGCCTCAGGAAAAGATCTACATAATTTGTGCTAACTTGAAATTAGGTACTTTTGTGCAGCACTTTGAAATGAAAATGAATTTACAGCTTTATGATGTTGCCTGTTTTGGGGATCTTTTGATGTATTTCAGGACTGGTGTTTTGCATTTGATTCTTAGGAAAGGGACAGGTATCTCAGAGAAAGGGTTCTGGAGATGGTTGGAGACTGGTTATTATTTGTTCTTGCTCTCTCTCTTTAAAAGTGGTGTCATCCAGGCCTAAAGCATCTGAGATACTAAGTCATTCCAGTTTAACAAAGACACTAATTGTACCAGCAGCCCTCTTCTAAACACCACCACCCAACTTACTAAACATACAGACCTCCCTTAAACAAGTTAGTCAGAAAGCAAATGGGTAAAATGTCCTTTATTATTCTTCCTGAAGGATAATTTTTACCTAAACTGTGAGAAGTGACAGAAGGTCAAGAAGGTCTCTAGAGGTTTACATTTCTCCCTGGCTTGGTGTAATGTGTGACGAGTTACCTGGGTGAGCGGGGTGTCCAGAAGCAGTATAGCTGGTAGTTACAGCACCACTCCTAGGCCAAATGCCTAGATTCTTAGCAGAGCTGATTTTTTTATGTACCATGCTGCATAAATGCAGCTTTAGGTCCTTCACTGGTTCCACCCTTTTCAGGTGTACAGTGTACAGTTCAGGGTTATAATGCATGGCAGCCAAAATAGAATCATAGAATGGGTTGGGTTGGAAAGGACCTTAAAGATCATCTAGTTCCAACCCCTCTGCCATCAGCAGGGACACCTTCCACTAGACCAGGTTGCTCAAAACCTCATCCAACCTGGCTTTGAACACTTCCAGGGCGAGGGCATCCACAACTTCTCTGGGCAACCTGTTCCAGTGTCTCACTACCCTCACAGGAAAGACTGTTCCTAATATCTAAACCTACCCTCTTCCAGTTTATAGTCATTACCCCTTGTTCTTTCACTACCTGCCCTTATAAGAAGTCCCTCCCCAGCCTTCCTGTAGGCCCGTTCAGGTACTGAAAGGCTGCAATAAGGTCTCCCTGGAGCCTTCTCTTCTCCAGGCTGAACAGCCCCAACTCTCTCAGCCTGTCCTCGTAGAAGAGGTGCTCCAGCCCTTGGATCATCCTCATGGCCTCCTCTGGACTCACTCCAGTAGGTCCATGAACCCCCAAAATGAACCCAAAGGTAGTAAGGTATGACTTGGACTTGCCTTTTTGCAGTCAGCAGTAGTAAGATTTCCTTTTTCTTTCAGCTTTGATCATGTAAATTTCCTTTAATTGCCTGGGTAAAGATACCTAATATTAGCCTCAGTTTAGCAGATAAATAGTGGGTTGGGAATCAGGGTGGCCTTTTCTGTTTCTTGGCTTTTTAAAATACATGTCTGCTAATAGAAGAAAGGAATCTGGTTTCTTGAGGTTCCCAGTGCCCTTATGGTCCCCCTCCTGTGGCCGGTGCCAGCCTCCCTCCCTTCAGTCTCTTTCAGCCGAGCGGGAGCAGCAGGACAGCAGTGCCCACTACTCAGATGACCCTTGGAGGATAACAGAGGAGCAGCGAGACTACTACATCAACCAGTTCAGGTCCCTGCAGCCTGACCTGAACTCCTTTATTTCAGGTAATTTTTACCAAACCATGTGTGTTGAGTGGAGGGACCAGGCTGAGAGGTGAGAAGTGTTAAGTAGTCAAAGGAATTATTTTTTTCTCTCTGGATTGAGTTTATGAAACAGAGTTTTCTTTTTAAAGGCAGTCAACTCAAAGAGCAAACCAATACTGTGAGCATGATGTTTTTTCCTAAATATCCTGATTTTAGAAAAATAATTACATCTAAGAGAGAAGTGTAGCAATTCAGTAAAAATTAAAATGAGTTCTCACTCTGAGGGACTGTATTTGTGGATCACACCTGCAGTGTATATTGACCTGAAAAAAACACTGAGGCTTGTGCTTGCTTTCCCAGCAGAAATGTGGCAGCATCCGTGTGATGAAAGTGAAGCATACAATTAACTGTCCTGTATGGTCAAGGCTGAATTTTTATGGCTCTGAGGGACTGAGATTTTGACCTTTAGGTGATTAAAAGCGAATTCTAGAGAGCACACACATGGTAAAAGTATCACTAACAGTGTACCAAGACTGCATTTCCATCCTGAATAGGAGGATCAGGCTGCTCATGAGAGGAGTCGCTGTGGGTGCAGACAGTTGGTCTGGAAAGGAAGATGTTGGAGGTTTTAAATTGAGGTGGTTTTGCTGAGCCCTGCTGTATTACTGAGGTTCCGGAGGCTCAGATCCAGCCAAAAGCTTAAATAACCTGCTGCTGACAGAAATTAATGCTTCTTTGCCTCAGTAAATCTCCTTCATATAATTTGCTTGAAAAAGAAAATGGTTGTTCAACAACATTGTATTTCTTTACAGGCGTATATAGTCTGTAACTGTGTGTGCATGTGTATGTGCATGTATATGTGCATATACAGCCTCTCATGTGGTTTTGCATTTTCCTTTATGCTGAGCAAGATTCTCAGGCAATCCTTGCATATCCAAAATTACTGTTTATAAACAATACATTTGAGCTTCCACAACATCTTAAGATAATTAAGCTGTAGAAATCCTTGCTGTAGGGTAATACAGATACTAGAGATTTGTCCAGGTTTATGAAGTTATTTGAGAAATCTGTGATTGAAAAATCTGTCAGAAATTATTGAATATTTAAGTGCTACCTCTGGTTGAGAAAGTTCCTGAATCGTAGGTGGTCAGAGGTTGGGGGATATTCTGAAGCTACATTATTATTACATGGTTTTGTCATGATCACATACTCCTCTCTGGGCATCTGGTGTTGGAGAGGACATGCTGTGCCAGGTGAGTCTTGGACCTGCCCCAGTGACAGCTTTTGTTAGGTACTGCAGTGGGTGATCTGACCTGAACGCCGATGGGGAATAGGAGTATAGACCTAGAAGTCTGTGCTTTATGTTGCCCTACATTTTGTAAGCCTGTATCCAGGAAGGGCTCCCAGGGTGCCCCCAAAAGCCTGTGCATGTGGGATGGTGAGCTAGGAGAAGAACGAGAAGGGCTGTTGTGGCAGGGTGAGTGAGTGAGAATACCTGCAGCAGGATGGTAGCTCTGTGCTGTCTGAGTCTCCTGGGGTTTTCAGTGTTTTTTTATAACATCTGAGCCACAGCACGGAAAAGTCATGGTTGAAGCAGCGTCTTGAGAGAGCAATGCAGACACTACAGCACTGTGCTGCCACACACGTGTCTTCTGGGTGAAGCAGAGCCATTGGCGTCTGTCATTTCATCATTGGCAACATACTAATTATGCTGGTTAGAATCACTTGTACTGAAGCATGTTTTATTTTTTTTTTTTCCCCATATGGAGGGAATGGGGAAATGAGGTCAACAACTCTGTCTGGCTTTCTCTGTCCCTTATTCACCAAGCGACAAATGGTCCAAAAGCTATATTAGCATCCACTTAATCTAAGCATCTCCTGGAAATAAAGTGAGCAGCTGCTTCTGGTGCAGCAGCCCTGTCCGAAGATAAATAATTGGAGAATTAATTTCAAATGGTTGATAAGTTATGGTTTCCAAACAGGTTCCGTGGCTAAGAATTTCTTCACAAAATCAAAGCTGCCCATCCCAGAGCTTTCTCACATCTGGTGAGTACTGTAATAGCGTTGGGGATGCATATCCTGTTTTTTTTTTAAAGATGCTTAATTCAAGAGTTCTTGTTAAATTTTGAAAAGTATCTTCAACTATAATTATTGCTCTTATCTCCAGAATCACTTTCAGGCCCAGGCAGCAGGGTGCTCATTGATCTTCCTGACATGCTTGTTTTCTGGAGAGATGTTCACCTACTCAGCAGGACTGGGAAGGTTTGAGCAGCCATATAACTGAGAGCTGTTCTTAGGTATATAGTGAGCAGCATCATTAGCTCAACGAGCTGACATTTTTCATGAAACAACACAGAAGAGAAACATGTCTGGAATGTTTTAGATGTGTTGTTGATTTTATCTTTCTGTCTGTGTTTTGTCAGAGAAGGCTTAATTAATGCCTAATTTTTATTAAGTACAACTACGTAATTCATCAGTGCTTTTCTAATGAACCAGTACACTTACTTTTAATGAGCTTATTTAGAAACGATTGCTGATGGAACTGTACATGATAAAATTTGACAGGGATTCTATTATATTTTCATAAACAGCATGGTGCTTTGTAATTCAGTGCCATCCTTGCATCTTGGATGGGAAGAACAAACAGTTTTAAACATTGATCAGAAGTGCTGGTACAGGTTTTGCTTATATATGCTTTTATAAAGAGAGATGAGAAGAAAAGCTTGCAAGAGCCTAAACATCTGTTGGGGTCAAAGGATATGTCTGGAATCTCTTCAAAGCAGATAGTCAGTTGTGAAAATAAAAAAAAAACCCAAACAAACAACTGAAGAAACATAGTGTTGGGGGAAGTGAATATTGGAATTTAGATTTAAGATTACTTAAGAAGAATAGAGTAACCCAATATGTTAACAAAACACATTTTATTTCTGTTGCTCACACAAGTTGTTCTCTCTGCAAAACTTAAAGAAAAGTATTCCTTTCTTGTAGATAATTATAATTTTGTGGTGATGTTACTTACCAGGTTATGTTGACATGGGATGTTTCAGTCTTTGTCACTGTAACATCAGCAGCTTGAAAAACAGTCATTATTTTCAGAGTAGGAAGTTACATGTTTATTTGTTTTAGTCCATGTGCTTGTGATATAGTACTACTCAATTCTTGCAACGAGTTAATTTATGAAATTGAATTCTTGAATTTCTGAAGACCAGTTTTAGTGTGTGAGAAGCATTCTAGAATTAGAGGACTGTGTTAGTGAGAAGTTAACATAACATTTAAACTTGCCAAGGGCATTAATTTAGCTCTTTTCTTGAGGCTGGTCAATGGTGCTAAGTAACCACTGCTGAAGTCCATTTTTAACTTTATCTGCTTTAACTGGTTTAAGATCCTGCATGGATTGGCCAAAAGTGCTTCCAACCATTGGAAAGTTAATTTCACCCTTGGAAGTACAGGATATATATTTAATGTTATAATATATACATACCCTCATATTGTATGGTATGATGTATAACAAAAAATGTACTTTATTAAAAAAAGAAAAAAGTGACAAGTCAATATTAGGAAATTAGCTCGCTTCGTCTTCCCCGAGCCAAATGTACAAGTTAGGATCAGGTGCAAATGACAGAGATGCTTGTCTTTTAAAATAGCCCTTCTCAAAGTTGCATTTCTGTCTCTCCTGTGATGTCACACGTGTGTTTCCCTGAGGTAACAGCTTGGAAAACATGTGCCTGTCGTATCCCACAGGGAGCTGAGCGACGTGGATTGTGACGGGGCACTGACACTCCCAGAATTTTGTGCTGCTTTCCACCTCGTGGTTGCAAGGAAGAACGGTTACCAGCTGCCAGAGACGCTGCCAGAGACACTGCTGCCTGAGTACCTTCAAGCAGGTAGTGTCCCTGCTTTTCTGTAGCCATCTCAGAAACCCAATGTGCATGTAGGACAGGTTTTGTTCTCCATCCTGCAGGTAGGACGGGGTTCTACACTGCATAATGGCCCTCCAGTTGCTTTTTAACACATGCATTTTTTAATTGTGCTTACAATTAATGCTTTATACATCCCTCCTTCAAGCAATTGCTGAAGGAGGGATGTATAAAAAGCACAAAATAGCGATACAAAGTGCAGCAGTTACCAGCCTCTTCATGTCTGCCTTTTTGCTCCAGTGTGCTTCAGCTGCCATTGTAGCTAAAGTGGCAGATGATTACCTGTACCAAAGGTAATCTAACAAGACTCACATGGCTTTTAACTCTTTTGATGATTTTTCCCTTAAGTATCTGTCTCTTGAAGATGTGTTGAAAATGGTACTGGACTGCTTTAGAACTTCTTATGCTAATTTATTTTGTTAGATGCAGTTAATGGTTGTATCAAAGGTTGAATTTTCTTGTAATTCATTTTATGTAATCCACAGATTCTTCCATAAGTAATTTACAGCAATGATGGGGGCATTACAGCAGTTTGTCTATCACAGGGATAAATTAATCCAAAATACAACATACCTCAGTAACTGTGCAGTGAGAGACCTGCCCTTTCATTTGTTCTCTTCAGTTATGTCTCTTTTAATTATAAATGAACTTTGAAATATATACTGTTCCATCTAAAAAATGTGCATGACTTTCTAGGGCAAGGAGGATTAATCACAGATGGTAATTACAGTGCTAAGGGATAATATTTAAGACCTAATAAAATCTTCATTAAATTTGATGACACTGAATATATTAAAAGACAGGAAAAGACCAAATCAAGCTGTAGTTAGGAAAATTAAATGTTCACCCTGTATAAGATTTGTGAAGTAATTTCTGGTGAAGTCCTGTTCCTTATAATCCACTATCTTCATATCCAAGGGGAGAAGCTCCTGTAAAACCTGCACTTCCAAGTCTTCATCACTTTAGTCTCCCTAATTACATTCCCTTGTCATAATTATAACTACTCTTTCTCTCCAGGTCCACCACTTTGTTCGCTACTATCATGCCTGTTGCCATCATAAATTAGCTTGTAAGCTCCTCCATGGAGGTCCTTGTTGGTGTGTCTTCACAATAAGCCTTTTTGGGTAAAACTGCAATGGAAATAACTATCTCTAGTAGTAGGGGATCATTATGGCAATGGGAGGAAGAGCATGGTAAGCTGTGGTTGTTCCTTGAGACAACGAGTTGGGTTGTTCCTCTTTCATCCAAAGAGTTGTGGTGAATGGAGTTAAATCCAGTTGGTGGCCAGTCACAAGTGGCATTCCACAGGGCTCAGTATTGGGACCAGCTCTGTTTTAATATCTTTATCAACAATCTGGATGAGGAGATTGAATGCACTCTCAGTAAGTTTGCAGACAACACCAAGTTGGGTGGGAATGTTGATCTCCTTGAGTGCAGGAAGGCTGTTCAGAGGGATCTGGACAGGCTGGATCAATGGGCCAAGGCCAGTTGTATGAGATTCAAAAAGGCCAAGTGCGGGGTCCTGCACTTGGGTCACAGCAACCCCATGCAATGCGACAGGCTTGGGGCAGAGTGTCTGGAAAGCTGCCCAGTGGAAAAGGACCTGGGTTTGTTAGTTGACAGCCAGCTGACTATGAGGCAGCAGTGTGCCCAGGTGGCCAAGAAGACCAACAGCGTCCTGGCTTGTGTCAGAAATAACACAGCCAGCAGGAGCAGAGAAGTGATTGTGCCCCTGTACTCAGCACTGGTGAGGCTGCACCTCAAGTGCTGTGTTCAGTTTTGGGCCCCAAACTACAAGAAGGACATTGAGGCACTGGAGTGTGTTCAAAGAAGGGCAACGAAGCTGGTGAAGGTTCTAGAGAGCAAATCTTATGAGGAGTGGCTGAGGGAACTGGAGTTGTTTAGCCTGGAGAAAAGGAGGCTGAGGGGAGACCTTATCGCTCTCTACAACTACCTGAAAGGAGAGTGTAGCGAGGTGGGAGTTGGTCTCTTCTCCCAATAACAAGTGATAGAACAAGAGGAAACGGCCTCAAGTTGCACCAGGGGAAGTTGAGATTGGATATTAGGAAAAATTTCTTAATGGAAAGGATTGTGAAGCATTGGAACAGGCTGCCCAGGGAAGTGGTGGAGTCACCATCCCTGGAGGGATTTTAAAAACGTGCAGATGTGGTGCTTAGGGACGTGGTTTAGTGGTGGACTCAGCAGTGTTAGGTTTATGGTTGGACTTGATGATCTTAAAGGTCTTTTCCAACCAAAACAATCCTATGATTCTATTAATTTTTCCCTTTCAGCACTGGAGTCTTTATCATTTTCTTAGATGATTATTGTTTCATGGGGTTACGCACAAGCAAACATTTCAAGCTTCAGTGTGGGCACTCTAAATACCTCAGCTAATATGCTAATTCTGGTTAGCTTGAGGGTCTGAAAATGTCTCACATACATTCTGTTGCCTAGTCAGGATTCAGAAATCTGTCTTTTTAAAAACTTGCATTAATAAAAAGCAGAACATCTCAACACACTATAACACTGTGAATCACAAGAAAGCATAGACCGCTGGTGATTCTGTGGTTCTATAAGCAAGCGCCTCATATACTTACCTAAAATGTCAAGAAATTTTCAAGACAAGCTTTTTGTTTTCATGTTTTCATAATTTGATTTCTGTGAAACTTAGATTTATTTATTTATTTAAATTTTTTTTTTGCTTGTTAGGAACTCGATGAAGATTACTGTTTTTCATTAGGTTATATTAGTTTCAGACTGGGGCAGAATTTGGTTCAAGTGAAATATTTGCATCTGATAAGAGTGTTAAAGCTTCAAATAAATTGACTTGGAGTGTAAGAGCATTGAAGAATGAATTAATCTTACTAGTTTTACGGCTTGTTCTCTAAACTACAAGTGCAGGGTCAAATGCTATCCTGGCACAGCTCCATTGACAGTTTGACCCACCACCTTCTTTTCTGAAAGTTTTTAATAAAACTAATTTATGGAATCTGTAAAGCTATTTGCCCTGTATGTAACCCACTGTATTGTAAATTAAGACAGATTTGCAAGACCTTAATTTATTCAGATAAACTAGATGCTAGCCAGAAACTAGAAATTTGATGTGAGAATTGGTTGTTCTGCCTTTCAATATATTGATCTTAAAGAAAAGCTGTTTTCCAGCTGTTAAGACAGAATTATCTCAGAGGAAATAATCCCAGAGTGATATCAGCAAAAGGACCTGAGCTTGTGGAATAGAAATGAGGTTGTTGTGAATGTTCCTGTGAGAAGTTGGAGTTTGTTGGTTTTTTGTGGTGCTTTTTTCCTTTTTTATTCTTCCCCCCCCCCCAGCTCTTGATGCTGTTTAGTTAAAGGTGATATATACTGCAACATCTACTGTGTTTAGTATCCTTGCTTTGCTGGTCTTCAATTTTAGTGTATAAAGTAGATTCTACTGCACTTTTCAGCATTCAAAATGTCAAAAATTGGAGTTGAAGGTTTGGTAAGTACCGTTAACATTCCGAAGACAGCAAGGTGTAAACTGTAAGGCCAACTAAGTTGATACTGGACTGTGAGGAGGAAAAATGTAAATAAACAGTTGTTGTTTGGCAGTTAATATTCACTAAGAATCACTACTCCCAGATTTCACAATTATTTCAATTACACATGCTATCCCTTTCATGACATTGGCTTACTCAAAATATAAGATAGAAAAATTTTCTTCATGGTGTTTGTCATCTGTGGCTTATAGATCAGTTCTGATATGTAGAAATGAACGGCAAAATGTTGCTGGAACAGGTTTTTACGAAGTGTCTCTTAACCAAAGACTTGGTATGTCTCTGTTTTGTTTTGTTTTTCTGTCTTTTTCTTTCTCTCACAGCTTCTTTGAAGCCCGTGTGTGACTGCACACTATTTGATTCTTATTCTGAGTCATTGCCAGGCGGTCAGCAGACTCGTGACTTCAGTCGGACGGAGGTAAGAAGACATAAGCAGAGTAGCTACCTTGCAGCGTGCAGAGGAATAGCCCAGCTTCACAATGACTGTGGTATGCGTAGCAGCAGAACTGCAAGTCTTTGAGAGCACTTTAGGACTCTCTTAAATGTACCATTAAGCCATCTCAAACCCTTCTCAGCAATTTGTTCTGTGCGTGGAATGGGACAACAGGTTTTTCAGAAGATCATGGAATCAGAGAATGGTTTGGGTTGGAAGTGACCTTTAAAGGTCACCTAGTCCAAACCCCCTGCAGTGAGCAGGGACATCTTCAACTACATCAGGTTGCTCAGAGTCCTGTCCAGCCTGAGCTTGAATGTTTCAGGGGCTTCTACCACCTCTCTGGGCAACCTGTTTCAGTGTTTCACTACCCTTGTCCTAAAAAATTTCTTCCTTCTATCTAGTCTGAATCTGCCATCTTTTAGTTTAAAACCATTACCCCTTGTCCTATCGCTACAGGCCCTCCTAAAAAGTTTGTTCCTATTTTCCTTATAAGCCCCCTTTAAATACTGAAAGGCCGCAGTAAAGTCTCCCTGGAGCCTTCTCTTCTCCACGCTGAACAAACCCAACTCTCTTGGCCTTTCTTCATAGGAGAGGTGTTACAGCCCTCTGATCATTTTTGTGGCTCTGCTCTGGGCCCATTCCCAGAGATCCATGTCCTCCCTTTGCTGAGGACTCCAGAGTTGGACACAGTACTGCAGATGGGGTCTCACTAGAGCAGAGTAGAGAGGCAGAATCACCTCCCTCAACCTGCTGGCCACACTCCTTTTGATGCAGCCCAGGATATGGCTGCCCTTCTGGGCTGCGAGCTATTCCCATGTAACAGAGTTCACAGTAGTTATGCAGGAACTTCAGCCTTGTGTGATGTTGGAATCTGCAGAGAAATACACCTTAGCTGTTAGTGTCCCACTGGGTTCCATTTGTCCCTCCTGCATTGGGATCCAGTGATGAGTGGCAGAGCCCCTGTTGCAGGAGAGGCAGTGGCACAAGGACAGTGCTCAGGTGAAATCTCTTCTGCATCTGAATTGGTCGAAAATGTGAGGGTTTAGGCACAGACCTTGTTCTAGTCAGGTATTCCTGACTGTGTAGCTCTTAAGTGTTTCTTCCATTTACAGTGCTCCGTTTCCACACTCACTCCCTCGTAGTTTTAATGATGAGAAGAAAAATGTCTTGGCTTGTCCTGATTCCTCATACTTTGCTTCTTTGGAGACAGAAACTATCACAGATTTTGTACAGTATGGACACGCATAGTTCTATTCTAAATAATTCAGTTTCCATTTTAATATCCAGCCTTTTCATAGTCTAAGGAACTACCATCTAAGGGCCTAGGTAGTAATTGCAAGGAGCCAGGAAGAGTGCTTTGAGAGAAGGATGGAGATTCATTGTAGCAATATCACAACAGATACCAACCTTGTAATGGAAGACTGTTGCAAGCAAAACTAAATTTAAGGAGAAAAGTTTATCACTGAGGTTAGAACCAGAAACTTTAAAGGTCCTGTAAAGCTGAACTAATAACCATAGTCACTGAGTTGTGTCTGGATATTCCAACTCTGAATGTATCTGCTGTGAGATCTAAGGGTTTAGTATTTAAGGTAGGGAATCAAATGGCAGACTGGCTGCAAGAACAGGTCCTTCTGATGCTGCTTCCAACTTAAAAAGTAATGGTATGTCATGGCAGCTCAGCAAGGCTGTTCTCAGGTTATTTCCTCCCTGTGCCTTGCTCTGGGACATTCCTGGGTCAGAAACCGGCTGTTCCCTCATCAAGTTCAGCTTGGTAGTGGCACCGCCAAACAGACTCTCCTAAGCTGCTACAGAGTGCAATGTTCACTTTGGGCAATGCTGGAGCCAATGCTTTTGAGCATCCAGTTTATCTTCAGGAACTATTAAAATACATGTGGTCTCCCTGGATGGTATTGCCTAAAGTACAGCAGTCATGCTGGGTTTTGAAAGCAGCGCTGCTGTTCTGGTCGTGCAGGCTGCTGGTACGTTGGCAATGTAGGCAAGTCCTTTACCATAGCAGAACAGCCTTGTCCCTTGCATATGACCTAATTTTGGGAGGGTAGCTCACAGGGGGCTGTGAGATTGTGCCACAGGCCACACTGTGCTAGCACTTGTTCACTGTATGATCGTGTGGCAAAGCGCAACAGTGCCTTGAGAGTGTGCCTCATTAGCATATAGCATGTTGGTTTGCAATTTAAACAAGCCTAAGAGGCAAAATTCAAAGCGATTTGCATTGAAAACTCATTCGCTGATGTCAGCATGTGTATGCACATACATACATAACTCCCTTTCCAGACTGCAGTAAGGGTCAACTGAGTATTTGAGTTAACTCACTGCATCGTCCTAAGATGCCCGTTTAAAGAGAGAATTATTTGTCTTCTGCTTAAAAACTGTTACATCCCTGTTTGGATGTTTTTTTGTCAGTAGAAAAGACCCCTGAGTGTTAGCTTCTCTTTTCACTTGCATTTTCATGTGCATATATAAATATACATGCATATATTAAAAATAGATATAATTAAATTATATTAAAATATGACTAAATATATAATTATGTATCTTTTATATACGTAATTTAAAAGCTTCAGTTTATGTAACTTCTTGACTTCAAGATCTACTTTGGTATCTCTGTGGTCTAGGGAGCCCTTGTTTTTGTTAGGATACTGGCTTCACAAGTGATTCCCCAGATACACAAATCGGTCTTTGGTTATTGCAGAGCTGTGAGGAAGTTTGCTCTTTAGTAGCAGAGCCTTTGGGACTGTGAGAGTAGAACGTTCTTCTATATATTTCAGAAAGCTCAGAAATCTTGCTTTCAGAGTCATCTTGTGTTTCTTAGAAATAAAATGGCCTTTCAGTAACCCAGCCAATACAATTTTATAATCTTATTAAATGTCTGGTTTTTAGGCTCTTCTTGTTTGTGGTCCTTGAATGAATGTGCAGAGTAAGGATGAATCTAGAAGGAGATGATTTCCTAAGCAATTAAACTGTATGGGTTTGGGGTTTTTTTCCTGCTACAGTGGAGATGATAATAGTAGGAATATTACAGTAATAATTAAATAGCTGTAGAGGTTATACAGCACAAAATGTAAAAAAACCCAAACAAGCAACAAATCCCCCATTTTTACATTTAATTCAATATTGAGCAGTTAAGCTTTCAGACTTCCTCTGCCTTCTCTCTGCACTCTTCTCCTTGAGACATTTTCACCATAACTGCCAATAACTTGCAGTTATTGCAGCTGCCTTTGTAGTCAGATAATGTTCTTGGGGGAACTGCTGGATCTTCTGCTCAGTTCCTAGGTTCTGCAAGATGACAGGATGTTTTGCAAAATCAGGTGTTTTATGACTAGGTTGAAAATGAAGAAGAATCTGTAGCTTGGTTGCCTGCTGGCTAAGCACAGATAGTGTTACCTGACTAGATCACAATAGTTTGACTGGGTTTGCTCCATTTCTTCACTGTCTGGGTCCTAGACATGCAGGGCAAAATTCTCAGTTAGTTTCAGGGCCTTGTTATTTTGGTCCTTAGTTATTCAAGATCAATGAACTATAAAGTCTCTTCTCAAAACTTTTATTCGAGAATGATTTTGAGTTGATTTTTTTTGTTGTTGTTGAACTGATGTTTTTACAATCAGAATTAATACACTGAATGAGTATCAGTTGGAAGGTCAGTAATTAATCTTCTGTTCCTCTCTCTCTCTGTGGGAAGTGTAGTAATTCACTGTTGCAATTTAATTTGTAGCTTAGCTACTTGAGGAAATATAGTTTAGATAGTTGAACACTACATTAAAAATATTGTATTATCAATGCAATCAATTATGTATTATCTCCATGTTTGTCTTTTTCCACCTATCATCCATTCAGGCTGTTTAATTTAATTTCAGAATACCTTTTTTACTGTCACTGATGAACTACATTACTGCAATACAGTGGAAACAGTGCTCGAATGCATCCATAAAGAAAATAATAGCAGGAAACAGGTCACCTGAATGCTAGGCTTTGTTAAACTTCCAAAACACACAAAGAATGCTGATGCTTGGGAATGACAAGGGTGACTGCTTTTTGTTAACCAAGGAGGTTTTGTCTTCCCCTTTTTTTTCCTAAACTTTTTGTCTTGCACTCTGGTCCTGGTCCTTTTTTGTTTTTCTTTTCTTTTTTTTTTTCATTCCTTTTTCTCTTTTCCAGAAGCTTTCTCACTGCCAAAACCTTAGAGATAAAACACAAAATTTCACACTATATTTATAAAATAACTGGCTGGGGTTGCTATAACCTCCCTCAGAAATGGGAGCTCACAGTTAATTGAAATTTGTGAGAAATAGCCCTTAGCTCTCTGAAGTGCTTCTCTAACTAACTTTAGGTGTGGAACTGTTGTACCTTGAAAAGCAGAGTCATACTTGTCTTTTTGTAGGTCCTCCATGCTTCTTTATCTGACAAAGCAAATCATGGTGCAAGAGAGAATGTCACCTTTATTTGTGTTGATCTGTGTTCTTAAATATTTGACTGTGGAAATGTGTGAGCTATACCAATCAGTATAATAAATACATCTTCTTTCTTTAAGAAGACAACAGCTGAAGAGGTACCTGATAACTCTGCCCTGTTACAGGATGGAAAGAAAGATGAAAAACAAGGTATTCAATAACTTTTTTTTTTTTCCATTATGGGTTAAATTCTGTGTGTTTTTAGTAGTCCCATATATTTGCTGACAGAAGCAATTGTATGTTTAATTTGTAAGCTAGCTATGTGGTTCTGTAGATTTAAAGAGACAACTTATTGACAGCAACTGAGTTGCAGACAAATAAATTGACACGTTTGCTTCAAAATTAGTTCTGTCATACGTGGATGATATGAATGTACCTTTGAAAATCCGTCTAGTGCTAAGGCAATTAATGTTGCACTTCTTATTTTAACAAAGTTGTAATTGTTGTTATCAGGAATTTTGTAAGAGTGAGGGACTACCTAGTGCCAAATTTCTGATTTCCCTTTTTGCAGGAAATAGCAACACTTCAAAATTAGTTTTCATTCTTATTAAAAAAAAAGCATCTATATTTTCTCACAAAACAAAAGTTTTGGACGAACTGAATTGAAAATACTCAATTCATTTATTTCACTTGAAATCTGTCAGCAGCAAGCTAAGTGAAATTGAAGTGATCTTTGTGTACTCAGCAGCTACTAGGGCTTTCAGAATCAGCACTGGATTGTCACACAGTCATTTCCTTTTATATGCCCTATCCCTCAGCTGTAGAAACAAAACCAGTTGTGGGTATTTTGTTGCCTTATTCTCAGAGCTGTGGATTATACATTAATTAAAAAAAACCCTGTACATCTTGATCTCCCAGCTGTCCACATGCTGAGATTGCATCAGAGCTGTGAGACCAGGTAGTCTGCATTCCTGAATCACCTTCCACACTCAGGTGTGACCGAGTTTGGCAGATTCCCAGTGTCCCTGGTTCAAAGAAAGGTTGTCAGAGTTGATGGGTCTTTGTAAAACATTTTGACAAGTCATTATATTCGATTGAATTCATGTTTTGTTGACAAGGTTTGTTTTGTTGTAAAATTCATAATGAACAAAAGCAGGACTTGAACCTTGAAGGTTATTGCTTTGAAATGTCTAGGGAAGGTTTACTTTTTACTAAGGGAATATGTTTTCTTCCCTGTTTAGAGTAAAAACTTGTGCTTTGCTCTTTGTAGCTGACATGTTAAGTTAGATGGGAAGCTGTTCTGGTGCACACAGTCATTCAGGGCTGCAGATTTATGACAAGATTCCTACCTTTTCAGCCAAAGAACAAATGCTGTTGTTCTACCATTTATTGCTACTCTGACAAATGAAAGAGCAGATACCTCTCCTGACTGAGGAGATCTCCCCAGAAGTCAAGAACCTGTAGTTCAGGACTGTAGGAGAAAATTTTCCTGCATTTTCAAAACTGTATAAGTAAATTAGCTCCACTCTGTCAGTTTATAATAGTTAAATGTGGAAGACAGTGTACATACAATTGGATCCCAAGAACCATACTTTTCTCACATGTTTTATTTGATAAAGGCAGATTGGGATGAGAGGTTTCATTCCAAGTGGTCATTTGTAATAGTGTATAACAGTACATTAAAATACACTATAGTGCATTAGTAATGCCTTAAGAAAGTCATTAGTAAAGGATTCTTAGGCATCAGTGGAAGGTGAATAAGCAGAAAGAATTGAGATTTCCTGAATTTTAATCTCGGCTCTGTCAGTGCCGTATGACATTCCCCGGGGCAGGCTGGTGAGGTTTGAGTTGCCAAAAGCAGACAAGCAGTTTTCTTGTTTGCCCTGGATTTCCAGGTTTGTAACTTGGGACGTGAGTCCTGGCTCTGACGGGTGTTGCTGGCTGCTGTCTCTGTGAGACTGCTGTGTCTCTGAAACAGAAATCCTTGGGTTTAGGCACCCAGCCCCCCGAATTCTCAAGATTTGGGATTATTTGGCAATTCGGGCATGGGCCTTTCTGTTCTTGACTTGTAAAATTGTTACTTTTTTGAGTGCTTGGGTGTTCTGAGGTTATTTGGCTACTTTTGTTTTCAAGTATATTTGGTGTTATTAGATGTTCCAACTAGTACTGTTGTAGACGCTCCTTTCTCAGAGCTGACACCTGTAGATTTTGCCTGCACATACTTAATTTTCATTGTTTTGTTGGGTTTTTTTTTATTAAGCTCTTAAAGCAAGCACTGCTTTCAAAACAATACCAAAGGAATTTCAGCATTTAACTGTGAAAACAGGTAAGAAGAAAAAAATTTCATGTGCTACTTTCAGTAGAATTTCAATCACATATTTTTATATCACTGTAAGCCTAAATTAGTGTAATTTGACTAGTTTTTAAGATTCTTTTTCTCTCATACTATTTTACTACTAAAATTAGCTTTTACCTCATAATGACTACCACTTGCAAAATAAATATTAATTACTAGTTTAGTTTGCCAGAAGTTTTTCTTGCTCTCTTTCCTTCATTGTAAGTGTATGTGCATTCTTAATGTGTGGCAAATGTTTTTACATAGCATTTTTTAAGGAGTCTGAAGTTTTTATCCACTACAAACAAGATGCAAGAGCACAAATATTGTACCTCTTGGTAAAACCTCTTCTAAAGTATGGACTAACTATGTAATGTTTCAATAACCATTCTGAAATAGCCCGTTTCTTTGTGAAAACTGAGCTTTAATTTTTTTCTGTCGAGGAGTTTAAGGGTGAGTAGCCTTTTGGAAACACAGCCTTTGTGGCATTTATAGCACTGACACAAGCTTTTGATTTGAGGCGATGTTTCTTTGTTGAAACCACCCCTGATTTTTCTCTCTCCAACGCCAACATACACTCCCTGTTCCTATCATACTGGAAAGTGTTATTTCTGGAACAGCATATGTCAAGATTGCCTAGTTGCTCCAGAAATTTCCCATGCATTCAGTTCAGTTCATCAGACCTCCCTTGCTTTCCTCTTTATAAATCTCCTTCCTAGAGTGGTAAGAATGTTTGCAAGCTTGCCCTGGTCCCAGTCAAGCTAAAATTTGGACTTGCTCTCTTTTCCTTTTGTATAAATGTTTTTACTCATTAAGATATCTGTGATTAAGAAAACTGACCCTACATGTCTGTCACAGCAGTTTTGTCTTATAGCTTGATTCATGGATGCTCAACAGCTGCATGCCTCATTTCTCAGCTCTTTTTTTTTCCTGGCTTCTTTCCAAACACTTGGCAGCTGCCAGATTTCCTATCTTCAGCTCCTTTTCTCCAGTCTTGCTCTCTTCTCCTTCACACACACACACACACACACACACACTCTCACACTTCCCTCTCAGGGGGAGAGGAGGGTGTTTGTGAGACTTTCAGTTCTGTTCTCCCCTCCCATTTTGCCCAGGAGCGGCCCAGGGAGTTTTATTTTCAATTCAGCAATTCCATCTTTGCTTAGAAAAAAAACCTACTGTCATCTGCACATCTCCTTTGCCACCAACTTCTTTTCCCCATGTCCTTCGTCTCCTAGTCATGGAGGTCTTCCTGATGCTGCCATGCTCCTCCAGCACTGTTACTGTATTTGTACAGCAAGGGAGATGGTGGCAGAGTTTCACCCCATCGTCACGACTCCTGTTACTGTATGGGTTTCACCCTTGATGTCCTGCACATTAAGAGTTTGAGCAACCATGTTCTCAGGTTTCCTCAGGACAGAAGAGACATGGACTTATTGGAGCTGGTCCAGGGGAAGGCCACTGAAATGATCAGAGGGCTGGGACACCTCTCCTATGGAGAAAGGCTGAGAGAGTTGGGTTTGTTCAGTCTGGAGAAGAGAAAGCTTAGGGGAGACCTTATAGCAGCCTTTCAGTACTTAAAGGGGGGCTTATACAAAGATGGCAACAAACTTTTTAGGAGGGGACAAGGGGTAATGGTTTTAAACTAAAAGAGGGCCGATTCAGACTGGATATAAGGAGGAAATTTTATAGGATGAGGGTGGTGAAACACTGCCCAGAGAGGTGGTAGAAGCCCCATCCCTGGCAAAATTGAGGGTCAGGTTGGATGAGACTCTGAGCAACCTGATGTAGTTGAAGATGTCCCTGCTCACTGCAGGGGGGTTGGACTAAATGACCTTTAAAGGTCCCTTCCAACCATAGAATTTTATGATTCTATGATAAGACTGATGTTAAAAGTAAAAATGTTTGTGCAGTTGACTAGATACAGCACAGTAGTTGAGTGGTTGTTTCAGAAATGGTCACGGTTCTGAAAGGTCATTGTAATAATTAAACTTCAGGAAGAAAACTCAGTTGGGAAGAAGCAGGAGGAATTTTAAATCCTTCTTCAGTTACTGATTTGGGCTGTTTATGTAAAGTCAGGAAAGGTGATACTGCCATGCTTCATTATGGAAAAGTTTTCTTTGCCATCAGAAGGACTCGATATCTGAAGTCAGTAAAAACTTTTTATGCTTAGCCTCTCCAAATATCCGACCCATTTATTTAGGCTCCTAAGTGCAAGATCAATGTTGGCCTTAGACTTTTAAAAGATTAAGGGCCAAATTTGCAAGTGTTTAAGTTGTACATTTCTGCCTAGGCCACCATTAAGAGATGAGTCAGTGGAAGTGATTTAGACTAGTGGGGAATTTTTCAGGTTTTTTCCTTAACCATGTGGAATACTTACACCTTTTATGGTATAATTTTGCACCAAATCTTCAGCCTGTAAAGCAAGGAGGCACCAACTGAGTAGAAGGTATAAGGCTACAGCCAAAAGTTACTGAATCAGCATCTTTTGGAATGTTAAAATGAATTTGTATTGGGAGAGGAGCATGGGAGCAGTTAAACACCCAAAATGGGAACCTTCACACTCTGCTGTGAATTAATAAATAAGAGTTCATGATTGTGTATGACTTCAGTTAGTGCAGACCAAGCTGTTTAGTTCATCAGGCTCTACTACTCCAGGAATCCTTCAAACTTTAAAATAATAAATGTAATTAATTTACTCACTCAACAGCTTTTTTTTTTATCAGTTTCATGTAAGTTAGGCTTATGTATCCATAGCAGTAGAAATACGGAAAACTAATGAACTGGATAAATAGATTTGTATCATCTTGAATGATTATGTTGTGTATATGTCTAAACCTGCACTTCAAACACAAAGTACACACAGAGTGAGCATGCCAAAATAACTGCACATTTTATGGAAGTCCTGCCACAATTATTTGTATGTCCTAATAATGAACTCCCTGTTTTATAATTTTTTTTTTATATATTATGCTACTTCTTTTGAAAGATAAAGCTAAGTCTGGGTATTGTGTAATTGTAGCCTTGAATTTCCTGATTTTTCAAAAGCTTAAAAGAAAATCCTTGGCAGTAGTACTCTATTGCTATCATTTTTTATTAGTAGGCTTTTCGGGATTCTCTCTTCCTTGTGTGCTTTCCTGTTTACCTCAACAAGATGTCCTTGGAGAGTTTGAATGTCAGTTTTACCTGCAGGTTTTTAGACTAAAGGCTTTCTAAAAGAAGTATGAACAGAATTACTCTGCTCCTCTCTATAAAAGAAGGAAAAATTGAAGGTTCTTAAACATGGCTTAGCTTGGAAAGGATTTATACTTCCTATTTCTAAGTGGAATATATTTAATAATTGTGCATGTAATTTAATAATCGGTAATTTCAGCATTGGAAAAATTGGGTCATATGGCTGTAGGGAAGCAGTGTCTGAAGTTGTATTCTCTGGAGTTTGACACAGAGGGAGGGGACGATTATCACTACTGAATATTTTAATAATAATTCCCTCTTTCTCTTTCAGTTGTTTGGATGAGTTTGTTGCACAGAAATCTGGAATGACTGTGAGCCAGTTTGTTGGTGACAGTAATCTACTAGAACTTGGTTTATAAGTGGTTGTTTGTGTCACTACCAGCTGCATTTGGGTTTATTCCATGGAAAGCACCAACTAGCACTGCGTGACCCTAAAAGCAGTTTCTGTTATAAAGGAATAGTGTGTGGCTATACATGTGCCATATGCTGCTACTTGTCTTCTGTGAGCTTCAAGCCTCCTATGGAGGGTCTGTGCAGTAGTACAGTGCAAGCCATTAAAAAGTCAGTATTTGTCAGCTGCTACCCCAGCTAGCTTATGCTCTCTGTTTTGGAGGATCTGTTGTATCCTCAGGTAGTGCTATATAATAGCTGATGATATATGTCTGACTTGGAAGTAGGCATATATCTGAGGGAAGCTAGAAACTCTGAGAATTAATTTTTTCTTTTCCCCCTCAAGCTGCTTACTTCTCCTAAGTGTTGTACCTTGATTAGCATAATAATGGAAAAAGGACAAGGATTCACTTTGTGTGTACATTGCGATCATTGGTGCTGCTGTAGTACCTTGAGGATATCTCAGTGGGCTGAATTTGAAAGCAATCACAGAGATATATTTTGTCAAAATTATCTGATGTTAGTAAGGACAGTAACAGAAAAGTCACAAAAAGACTGTGTAAATCAAAGAACAGCCTCAAGGAATTTCCCAGAGAAGGTTAAGTCAGCACTGTGGTTTTCCTATCACATAAAACCTGCATGTGGCAGGATATTTGGAATTCATCCAAATAAAAAATTGATTTTTACATTGATAGAATTGTGTTTGATCAACACTTAGACTGTAAAGCTTTCTGCCTTCAAATATCTTTCCTTCCCAATGTCAAAGTAGTCTCAACCTGATGTGCTCATTTTCTTTTTTATGGCTAGTAAGAAGATGTACTAATAAGTTAAAGTATTTAGGAAGGACATAAACCTTTGTGCTTTGGGAAGCAGGACAACTAACAGATATCTAGACTAGGAGTAAGGTGTTTTCTGTAGAAAGTTTATGCTATTCCTTATGTTGCTTTGTCACAGCTGCATCCAGGAGTACAGATCAGAGCTATCAGACCTATTGCTTTACCTGTGTCCTGGTAACCAAATTAAAGGTGAAAGTCTGACTACGCGTGGGCTTTTGAATTCTTGGGACATTTACACACTACAGAAAAAAAGGGGAAGAAGTGAAAATAAATCTCCATTGCTCCTGTGACATGAGCACATTCTCACATCCACATTTGCAACAGTCATATTTTTAATGAACACTGATCCTGCAGCTAAAGGCATTTATTTAAAATATGATGTTTTAGCAGTTCTTTTTTTCTTTTCTGTTTCAGCTGCTCAGGAATCAAATGTACTTAGAGCCAGACCACGATCCAGGTACTGCTTTAATTGCTGTTTCAGGAGAAGAGATACCTCTGGTGTTAGGCACAAGATGTAGGAAATGGTGTTGAATTTTTAATTTTTTTTTTTTTTTAATTAGTGTTGTACTGAAGGTCCAGCTTAGATAAAAGATTTACCAGGAGAGATCTTTAAGCTATAGACCCTACATAAGTACTGCCTGGAGCCCTGTGATCTCTGGGCAGAAGGTACTGGGACTTTTGCCTGTCTGCCCAGCCTCACTGCCATGTAAGGGTGGTGACTGCCTCCAGCCCTGCCCCAGGGTGTCATGGTGGGAGAGTGGGGACCACCCCATTGCAGGGAACCTTCTCAGCAATTTTATGTTGTTGAAACCTCTACAGTGGTTGCATATGGAGGGAGACAGTCCATGCTCCCACAGAAACAGCAGTAGCTCAGATGTGGGTGAGTGAATGAATCCATTTGTTGGTGTGCTTGACTATGGCTGGTTGGTGTGTGATGGAAGGGCTTATGGACTTACACTGTTGTGGGCTACAAATGACACCTGCTGAATTTGGGTGTTTGAGAGAAAAAGGGAAACTTGTGAAAAAATTTTATGTATAAATGGATTATGTCTTGGGTTTGTCTGTTCACCATTCAGGTGTAAAGCCGTATCATGCATTCACCTTCAAACTTTTTTTTTTAATGCTAGTTAGAGGGCTTCATTTCTTTTTCTTAGGTAATGAGAATATAATTAGGAGATCCCTGCTTACAAGCTTGTCAAAGCCTGCTAATAAGAGAGGACCAGCTATAAGCTTGATGAATGAAGTTTGAAATCCTCTGTTCTCAGGACCTACATCCAGGAAGGCTGAACTGTCTTGTGTGCTATTTTTCTGCTGCTAGCCAAAGCTTTTTGGTTTTCATACTGTTTTAAATTTTTTTGCCTGTGTTACTGAATCATAAATTACAAATATGCAAAACTTGTAAAATTTGGAAATTCTGTAAATATGTATAAAATATGCAAAAATGCACAAAATAGCAAATGCTTAAACAAGTTTGAAAAAAGTCACTTGAATGTGACTGCTGTGTCACATCTGACCGTCTCACATCTGATGATATGTCACTACTTCAATGCAGGAGTTGAGACTAAAGATTCCTGAGCACATCCTTGAACTCAGACCTTCTGCTGTGCTTGTCCTGCGTAGCCTGCAGGGCTCTATGGCCTTTGGTCTCTGTCTTCAGGTGTGCCTGATCACACAGAGGCTACGATTTGAGTCTGTTACAGCTCCCAGCTCTGGAGCCTGGCTTTCTAGCCTAAGCTGTGCAGATTCTTAGCTGCTGGCTCTGAACTGACTTTTAGGTGCCAGGTCCGCCTACTGCAAGCAACAACAATTCACTGTCACAGGGCTCCATGTTGGCACTGCTAGGGCAGGCATATTTTTGCCTGGTAGCTGCCATCTTATTCAATCTTTTAAAAAAAGTTAAGTCTCAAACTATGAGCTTGTACAATTTTAATGCAAGTAAAATGTACACTGCATAATAGGGAAAGTAAAAGTATAAAACCTTAAGATCCTAATTCAAAGCTTTCCCATTTATTTCAGGGGAGTTGGGTTAGGTGTTATATGGTCAGGCTATGGAATTCAAAACACTAACAAGATAAAAAATTAAGCATCAGCAGAGGTTTTTGTGTCACATGTAAATTTTGAAGCAATTATGGCTTTAACTCCTGTATTTATTAAAGTTTATGTTTAGTAACAGAGGATCATCATTGCCAAATGTCTATCCTGCTAAAGGCTGTTTTCTAACAGCCTGTTTGGCAAAAAAAGATCTGTTTCCCATTAGTGGGAGTTATTTCTGTTCTACTCAAATGTGTTTTTGGGCTTGCCTGTCATGCGTAATGTGTTACGGTAAGTGTAACATCTCACATTGTCAGTGCTCATTTTGAACAAAGCTCTCGGTCTTGCAGAAAAACTGGTAACAGCAACAGCTGAAAAATATTGGACGCTATTCAGCAAAATCAAAATTCTTAGCAAATGCACCGCACTAGGATTAATGGGATGTGGAAGGACAGGGAAGGATGTACTCACGCATATATTTGACCAGCTTTTGTCACTTTGGAGCCATTCAGTTTTTCTGTATTTTGTGGAATTTGCTATGAAAATTAATTCCAATAGAATATTGTAAACTACAAAATGTATACTCGCCAGAGGTAGGTTGAAGCTGTACCTGTATAAACACTACCCTCGCAGCTGGGAAATGCAATAGTAACTGTAAAGGGGGGAGCAGAATTTTACTCAGTTTTATTCAAAATAGTTGTTACAATTATCCTGTTGGCAGTTAAAGTTACATGAGAAGAGCCTGAAGCTGTAATAGAAAAGACCTTAAAAAAATACTAGCTCTATAAGTGTGACCCATTCCTTTCCCCAGACACATAGGTCCTGGCAAATCTGTCTTGTTGTAAGGGGGAACTTTTAGTCTGTAGGGCAAGGAATTTTCACCATGAACTTGAGTTCTGATCAGTGTATTTTTAGATACTCTTCACTGCAGTTGTTTAAAATGAATTTCAGAAGTAAAATATTTTCTGCTTTTTCCATACCCTGTTCTTCCTTAGGTCTTATTCTAGCACATCAATAGAAGATGCCATGAAAAAGGGAGAAGAGCCCCCTACTCCGCCTCCAAGGCCACAGAAATCACATTCCAGAGCTTCCTCTTTGGATCTGAACAAAATATTTCAACAAAACACACAAGGTAAAGTTTGCTTTCTTTCCTTCTTTTCAGACCATTTAGGTTAGCTGCATACTTGGCAACTTGATCTGTTTGCTTGACAATGTGTGCATATGCTTGCCTTTGCTATAGACAGTAATACACTATGGAACAGAAGACGTTGCACTTTCTTGCATTACATTGCCACTGAGGGAAAAAAAATCACTGTTGCAATAATTAAGGTGATTATAACATTTTCTGGCATGATAATGGGATGCTTAACATATGGTAGTCTGTCATCACTGACTCTAAAACTAGTCTGGCTGTTTAGACACTTCTCATCAGTAACTACAATATTTTTCATTTTTATTACTATTTAATTTTTGTAGTTCAGAAGCAGGAAGAAAACCCTTAATGTTTAAACTGGGAGAAAATGAAATTTCTCATGTGCAAACATTTTTGATGTTGAAGTCTTCCATATGCGTGGGGGACAATCAGAAACCATTCTCTGAGTAAAAAGGAAGGGTAATTTCTTTTGACATGGGTTCATGTTGAAGGGAGAGAAAGAAAATGGAGAATAGTAGCTGGAATGAACTGAAAGAAAACCACTCTCCAGCATGTTAGTGTTTGAGGAGTCTTTTTGCCTCGCACAGTGAGTGGTGGAAAGAGGAGCTGTTTGTTCCAGGCAGCAGTCGCCCACCATCGCTGTGCTTTAGCAGTGTCCTTGAACCAGACCACAGCTTTATGCAGTGTACACCAATCATCTGATTCAAGGACTAGGTTAAACATGGTCGTGTTTAAACTTCAGAAGAAAGCCAAAGTTTGAGTGTGTCAAGGAATATTTTAATTGGGCTCTCTAATGTAGTTGTTGGAGTAGAAAAAACAGAGTTTCACCTCTTGCTATATGGGACTTCTTTTTGTGCAAACACCAGACAGAATTCAGGAGTCCTGCTATGTGTGCTGAACAGTGAAATTCAATAGCAATAAACATTTAACTTTTTTCTGCTTTACACAGAGAAGCAATTCCTCATCTTTGGCTGTCGTTCCTGTTGAGGGATCTGTTGCCTCCAATTTTGATTTCATTATGCAACAATATAAAACCCCAAACAGAGACAAGTACACATTTTCTAAGGGAGCAATTCCTCTCAGAATCCAGATTAAAAGTATAACTGGAAGGAAATAAATTTGGATTTAAGTTTCTTTTGGAACACAAATGAAAGGAGAATGTAAATTCTCAAAGAAGTCATTCTGTGAATGAAAAGTAACATCTTGCCTTTGAAACCTATCGTTTTGAAAGTCGCTGTTACTTTTGAAGTAGCATAATGATTTCTTCTGGGGGACTTAACAAACTGACAGTGTTATAGTGAGTACAGGAAAGGATAACTAGTCCTATCAGTACTTTGTGGAGAATTTTCTCACTGGAAATGGGGCAATTAAGTAGGGGTAAGCAGTCGATTGCTTAGAAAGAAAGAAAGTGCTTTGGTCACCCTAAAACTGTTCATCATATTTAGTTCAAATTTATGGCTATTTATAATTGGAACAAAAACGGTCTCTAGGTTGACAAAACCTGAAGTATAGTGTGCTACATAATTGCAGAAATGTGGAAGGTCTCCCAGAGGTTCAGCTTTCTCCTGTATCTGCAGGGTGTTGGCCTGTCATTTTTTGCCCTCTTAAATGTCCCCTGATGGTAATGCTAAATATTTGTGGTGATTGTCTTCCTCTAATGAAGCTGTTCTATTTTGTGTCAAAAATGTAAATACTCAATGGGAAAGAATAAGGAGAAATTCGTAGCCTTGAAGAATTCAAGGAAGAACTTGTTAAACAATTTGTAGCCCACTCCAAAAAAAGGGTTCCATTGCAAATAAATCTGCATCATCAGGAGGGGATTAAATCAACCCATCCCAGAGCACCCAGGTACCATGGTGCGTTTACCTTTCTCTGCTTTGAAGTAAAACGTCTCCATTTGAAGTCATATTTTCAGTTCTTCATTCTATGAAGAAATGTGCAAGCTCTTCCCTGTCATTAAGCCCTGAATAGTCATTACTCTGCAACATCCTATTGATAATGTGATTTTACACAGCTGCTTGCTTTTTTTCTACTTCTCTTGTTTTGATCACCTCATTTTTTTTCATCCTTTTCCCTGCTGATTTTACTTCTCAGTAGAAATTCCAGTCTCATAATTTTTGGAAGCCTTTTTCATCTGGAGACAGTTCTTCCTCAGGGAGTAGTCATTGTTTTGGAGCCAAACTCTTTACCGAGGTGCACTTTGCACTTTCTAAAAAGATGGTTTGTAGGAAGACAGGGATCGATCTTCACCTTAAACTGAAGAGCCACGTAGAAAAGAAAGTGTATACGCCTGTTTATGTGAAGTAAATTGCACACAGTTGTGTAATAACAAGCTATATTCTTATTTCTGCTGACAGCATGAAAAATTAAGTTAGAATAGTTTCCATCTGCCATCAGATGATACAGTTACAGATTTACAATACAGATGACGTGATGGCAATGTACTATTTAGGTTTCTTGGCTATTGGGACAATACAGCCTGGCATAAATATCAAACCTGATGTGTTTCTGTCCACAGGTCAGTTGATTACTTTCTGTCTTAATGTACTCTCAAATGAATTTTTGCTTTACGTTTTCTCCCTACCTACCTTCCTTCCTAGGTTGTCAAAAATAACCTCATTGTCACAGCTGAACCACAAAAATTAGCTGGAATGACTATCCCTTCTAGCACCACTGTACTGCCTAATGTCAGTACAGAAAACCAGACAGTAAAACTGACCATTTTAACAGCTTTCAGGATATATCCAACATGATGAGAATAATCCCATTTCAGTACATTAGTTTTTGTCCTCCTAATTCTTGTTCAGCAATAATCCTGATTTTGTGAGTTTGGTAGATAATCTACTCCCACACTTGAAAAGGAGTGCTCAGTAGTATTGAGTTTTATTTTCAGTTCCTCATTGGTCATGTTGGTCCACAGGTATCACTTCTTTAATTGTAAAGCCATCAGTGGTTTGGAGCATTTTTTAAATTTATTTAATTTTTAAATGGCAGAAAATGAAAAATCTTTGTTCTTCTGGTAAATTCAGCCAAAGACTGTGGCAGATCCTTGTTGCGAGCACTGTTCTATGGGGAGATGTTTTTGTTTGGTTTTCATTTACTGCTGCTGTATCATGTTTGCCACCATCTTATGATGCTCTTCTCCTGGCAAATATACACAGAGAACATTTATCCATGATAGCTGGGATGTCTAGCAATCTTTAAAATTGTTGAATTGGGACATAACTGCTCTTGAAGGAGGTACCTTCATCCTCCATAGCTGCACTCTTCTGGGACACTGTTACTAGTGTTACCTAGGAAAATCATAAAAAAACCCAAGAGAACTTATTGAAAGGCCCCACCTTCTTAAATGTCTATATGTGAATTTCTGTTATGAGATGTTAAGAGACAGAAATCTCTTCTATTTTTTTTTTTTAATCATATAGTCTTTACATTAGCATCTGATAAAAATTCAGTACTGATAGATTCCCAATGTATTTCTTTTTGTTGAATATATAATCTCTGGCATTTGGCCCATGTACATAATAAGAAAATACTTGGCTGGGTTTTATGCATTCCTGGAAAGACAACAGCAGGTTTTAAGTAGAAACACAAATGTCAGTTTAAATATGTAACGTGACCTGGTTTATGTCTTCATTTCTTCTCTAGCCCACTGTCTAGTCAGATACAAGCCAAGAGCTCCCAGAGTAAGACCTGGGAGCCTGTGGCCCACAAAGCTTTCCTGCACTGTTCACAAAGGTCATTTGCAGAATTGGTTGCTTTCTGGAGCTCCTCATGCTCCCTTCTGTCTGTCCTGTGATCTGAGTGATGGAGCAGATATCGAGGGAGTCAAAATTGCCGCAGCTTAGAGCCCGGTGCAGCGTGCCCGTGGGGTCTGCTGGCCAGCTGGGGTCCTGCAGCAAGACCCACAACCACCTTTTACCCTCGATGGCAGCAGTAAGCTAGGGTCTGCCTTGCGGTAACTCTGGGACCGGGCCAAGTCCCAGCTTAAGTAGTAAAACCCAGAAATACATCTATTGTCTTCTAGCCTTTTGCTTGGTTACATATTCTGCCCACGGCAACTGCTAAAGACTTTACTTCTGGGCAATTATAGGCAGTGACAGCATTCTGGGTCTTGTTAGATTGATATAGATGCCTCTGAAATACATTTTATTTCCCATTCAGTTTGATTTCTGAATTGTATAACTTTTAATTAACATTTTTGTAGAACAAAGAGTACTTGTTTGGAAAAGATAATTTGCTTTCATGAAACAATGTAATTGTCATAAAAACTGTAGTTTCATGTTGATATGGAAGGATGATTGAATATCTCTGTGTAATTCATCAAAACAGCCATATTACAAATGAATTTTTGACTGAAGGTTTTCAGTGCTCATTTGCTTTTGAAACTTGCCTCCTGCTGCGGCTGTCCCTGCAGTGAAGAACGCGTGGAATGCAGGCACCATTTCTTACATGGGCTTGTAAGCAAATACTTGACTGTAACCTGCATTCACTCCTTTGGGGGTGTTTCATCCAGCAATATGGGGCTAGTTTTTTTGGCTTTTTCTCTCTTTTGAAATGTGAAGTGTAAAGTACCACACTTGGTAAGGGGGAATCACACTAGCATTTTATTATAAGTGCAGTGTTTTCTGTTATGGAAGATGTTTTCCTGATTACAGTCTGATGTGTAACCTCTACTTATCTCTGCTGGGCTAGTGATTGCTGCCAAACAAGAAAACGTCCCCCCTGCTCTCAGTGTAGTGTTCATAGAAAAAGAAAAAGGGAAAAGGTTTATCACTGTGCATCAGCATTCCTGTAAGTGATATAAATGTGTCCCCACATTGCTTCTATATTCCTTCATATACACATTTCCCACACAGTTTAAAGTGGTACTTCTATCATAAGACTCAGTCAGTACAGACTTTCTGCACCCTGTAATTTTTGTTAGTGCTAGAGGAAGACTGGTGTTCAGCATCACATTTTATCCTTTTTCATACCTT